CCCCCCCGTATATCCCATGAAATGCTGTCTTGTAAATGGGCCTGGAGACACCTGTACTTGAGGTCATTGTGAAACCAGAGAGTAGTTGGCTAGGTAAGCCAACAATCTGTCACTGGACACTTAGGTGTGAACAGTCTCCTTTCAACAGGAGAAAAGTGGCATCACAATGCCACAAACAGATCTGTAGTTTCATATATATTCAATGCTGTGGTGAAATATGACCTGTGGAAGTCTTCTGGACTTAAAATGCACCAGAGGCGTGTACATGATTACATAGGTAAAGATCAGATGAAGTGCAGTTGTCATTGGAAGGACCGTTTTAAGATTTTTGGTCTTGCCTGTACGTGACACCACTGATGTTGATTAATTTGCCTTTTCAAGCAGAATCAAGTTGGATACCCACCACCCTATGGGCAGTGGGGCCAGTGGTATGGAAGTACCCAGCAGATCGGCCAGTATGTGCCGAATGGGTGGCAGGTCCCTGCATATGGAATGTACGGACAGGCCTGGAATCAGGGATTTAAGTAAGTATCCAGCATCTTATGGAAGTAAGCTGTATCGTTAAACACACTTTCATTTAGCCTCTTGTATTCTGAAACCATTCACTGAACTAGCAATTCTGTATCCATTCCAAGTGTAGAGCTTTTTGTTTAACCTGTGCTCTTTGTAAAGAAGCTGGCGGCCATTCAGCAAATTTGTCCTTATTTATATAATTTTAAAATACTTTGCATGTCAGTTATTCTTTTGTTCCTGAAAGGGCGAATCAGCTTCTAAAACTGATTTTATTTTATGGTCCTGGGCTGTAATCTTGGGTGATACGGTAAAGGAGTTATCTCACTTGACACTCATGGTCACATTTGACTCCTGTTTGTTGTCTGTCTGTCAGCTTTGGCTAATTTAATTTCTTCTTCCCTTCAGTCAGACACAATCTTCCGCAGCATGGATGGGTGCAAATTATGGTGTACCGCCACCTCCGCCGCCCCCGCCGCCCCCACCCCAGGGGCAGAATGGAAGTGTTTTAACTAGTCAAACTGGATATCGGATGGCAGGTTTTGAAACGCAGTGAAAGGGAAAAAGGACTCTTATCAGAACAACTGGTGGCTTTGAGGCTATTTGGAGCATTGTAAATCCTTTGTTTACTTAAAAAAAATCTATCCAATCAAGTCAGTGCAAAAGTCAAACAGTATTTATTTTTAATCATGAAACTTTGTTGTCCACATTTTTTTTAAAGAAAAAACCACACACAGACACACACACACACACAGACACACAGGAAATACTAGATGCTGGATATCTGCCAACTTTTGCCTTCTTTTCCTCTTTTGAGATGTGTTTCTTAAGATCCTTGTTTGAAACACAACCAATGCAGGGATTTCTGCCACTTTTAGATGGGGGCAGGAAATTGCACAATATCAAAACTTTTTTCCACTGAAGTAGTGTGCAGTTCTAGTTTGCATTCCTAGTAAGAAATTTGAAATGTATATGAAAGAAGATGTACAAAAGGAAAAAAAACACACACGCCAAAACTGTGTGAATTCTGAAGGTTCATGGCAATCTTCAGCTTGTGCACAATTCTGTTTTAAAGAGAGCCTATTGTATAAAGTGTCCATCTCCTCACTTTTGTTATACTGGGGTTTCAAATATAACTTATTGGTTTACATTATTTTGTATCTAGACATTTTTCAAAAAGTGGTTTTTGCCTTACTGTCAGCTGTTAAATTATTAAATAGGAGTGGCGGTGGAAAAGCCAGAACACACACTTAGTTGTACAGCGCTCGGGTGGATTCCGCTCTTCAAGTTGTTACTTCTGTTTCATGTGGGAAGGTGCCTGGGGAAAAATCCCTGTTGGATTTGTTCTGAGATCTTTATCTTCACCAATGAATTTTCAGCCCAGTTTCAAATATTATTAAAATGTGACACATTCTTATGAACCAGCTTTTTTAAACCTTGTCAGTTTTTACATTTACATGTATCCTTTATCATGTAAACTATTTTAGCAAATTAATATTTTTCACAAAAGTCAGTCAGCTTTTGTATGTCTCCTTCTTTGAAAGGATAATAGGCAGAAAGATCTACGTGGCTTAATGAGTACGATTTAAGCTTTGGCTTTTGCATGTGAATATCTAATACATTGTTAGACTTTGAATAAAACACTCATGCTCTCATTTTTTTTCAAAGATGTAGAGAATACATTGGTCTTAACTGTTAAAAACTTTTTACTTGAGTGGAGTAACTTCGATTTGATTTAGCATGTACAGATAGAGCTATGAAATTATATAGCTTTGTGTGAATCAGGCCAGGAGTACAGGGGATGCTCTAGCTAAGCCTGAAGGACCAGCTGGGTGAAGTATTTTGAATTGTTCAGAGGCCAAAAACGTTTCAATCCTACCTCCTTGACTAGCCTTCAGAGAGTGCAAAAAAGAAAGAAAGAAAACTACCCTTAAGTGTGTAGTATTTATTCATCCCTGTTAATGTCTGGGCGCGTGGAGATAATTTGCTTTCTGTTCTGCATTGGTTGTAGTGGAACAATGTATCAAGGGAATATTGAAGTTATACAGAGTGTCCTATGACCTTGTATGTTATGGAAAGAAGTGACCCTATGACACGATACAGGGTTGGCTGTGGAAATGTTAAGTTACTGTTTGTCTTGATTTCAATCCCCACCTTGTCTTTGGGGGGAGTGTTGGGGTGGGGCGGGGAGTTTAGCAAAGCTGTTCTAAAATTCGAAGAGTTGCTGCAAGACCTCATTTTGCAGTGAGTAGCAGAAGAGGGAAACACAAAAGAGAAACCTAGGATGAACTTTGAGATCACTGTATTGTCCCAGAGTATATTAACGGCTGGCATTCTGTGGAGTGAGCAGAGCCAGGCCGCTTAAAATGGTAGGGAACGGTACAGTGGAGTTGTGGTAAAACCTGGCTGTTAAGAAAGCCAGTTGTTATCCTGTAGACAGGGCCTGACCCCCAAATATTACAAAAATAAAGCATACTGAAAAAAGACACCTTTAACTCTATAGATTAGTCTCATTTATGTCTCTTTGTTGCCTTTTAAACTTGCATAAACTTATCTTAACCTTCTGCTTATTACGTTGCCTGTGTGACTTTTTCAAAAGAGGACATGAGGATGCTTGAAGTGAGCATGGTGCTGCACTGGAATTTTCTGTGTATATTTTTCAGCAATAGAACTGTCCAAGTTTGAGTAAATAAAATTTCTTCCACTAAAGCAGTCTGAGATCCCATTGCCCAGTTTAAAATGAGAACAAGAGGGCTTTTTATAACTTAACCAGTTGTGACAGTTGTCCTTAGATTTTCCTCTGTATTTGAACACCAACGAATAAATGAATTTCTGTTGGGCTTAATGAATGATGTTCTTCAAAGTCAGGAATTATTTGAGTGGGATTAAGGGGAAAGGGGAGAAAGTAACAGCTTTTCAAGAATGTAAAGAGGCCAAATGCTTTAAGGTGCTCAATTGGACTTTGACATACTGTGAAAAAAATTGATTGGCATCATCAAGACATGTAATTTTTATTATCATATTCCTTTACTAACTAACTGAAGATGCCTCCCAACATCTGCTGAAGAGGAACACAATTTAGCAGGGCCAGCTTTATTTCTACGCTCTTCCTTCGCTTCAGCAAAAGTGTGATGTGGCCCTAAAGAGAGTTTGATACTCCCTTGAGCCTGTTTGTTCTTGGTGTTCCCATTTCCCTGCAGTTTAAGCATCTGCTATGCCTTTGAACAGAGAATTTCCTCAATTAGAGATGTAAACAGAATATACTACAAAAAAGGTAACGAAGGTGAATGGTTGGTTCTGTTCTGTTCTTTAAAAGTAGCAGCTCTTTTTGGTCTTGGTACAAACCAGTGGAAGCTTCATCTGAACTCATCTAATACTTGTGTTGAGAAGCTCAAGAAATTCACTCCAGCAGCTGAGGCTGTTGAAAGCCACGGCGAAGTTAAGACCTCCTAGTCTACCATTGGGGAAGAAATGGAGAAGGACGGTATCCTGTGGCACTGGGCGGAGGCTGTCATTCGTGAAGTCTCGGTTGCCTGCTGCCAAAGGGCCTTTTCCTCTGATGGGATGAGACACCTTTGCTGCATGGTTGGAAAGAGACGGTTTCGAGACGGTCCAGTTTTCTGGCTGGACATTCTAAGTCTCCGGAGGAGGAGGCCCATGCGTTACCACCTCCCATCCCTTCTGCACTGAGAGATCCGGAGCCTGCTGGCAGGCTCCTTTCTTTCTGCGCCCCAGTGCACCAGAGTCAGGCACCCGGAGGCAGAACCCCTGTGGCTTTTGGTTGCGCCCGGATTTTGTTTTCCGTTTTGCAGCACAAATGACCCTTTTGAGATGATCTTCTGGCCCTGAGCCCAGCTTCACCAGGGAGGCCCTGTTTTGTTTTCTGACCGCCCTTGTTGGAAGGCCCTTAGTTTAGGGGGTTGTCCTAGGAGGTGAACAGGAAAGGGGCTGCTGCTCCAGCGAAGCCCAGGCGGTCTCCTCCCTCCGTGGTGGGGCCTTTCGGGCGCCTCCAGCCAAATGACCCTTTTGAGATGATCTTCTGGCCCTGAGCCCAGCTTCACCAGGGAGGCCCTGTTTTGTTTTCTGACCGCCCTTGTTGGAAGGCCCTTAGTTTAGGGGGTTGTCCTAGGAGGTGAACAGGAAAGGGGCTGCTGCTCCAGCGAAGCCCAGGCGGTCTCCTCCCTCCGTGGTGGGGCCTTTCGGGCGCCTCCAGCCACCCCGGCCTTGCCCTGGACCCCAAGG